GTTGTGGCCAAAGTGCAGGACCCGGCACTTGGCCTTGTTGAACTTCATCCCATTGGAGTCAGCCCATCTCTCCAGTCTATCCAGATCCCTCTGCAGAGCCCTCCTGCCTTCCGGCAGGTCGACACTCCCTCCCAACTTGGTGTCATCTGCAAATTTGCTGATGATGGACTCAATCCCCTCATCTAAATCATCGATAAAGATGTTAAACAGGACTGGGCCCAGCACTGACCCCTGGGGGACACCACTGGTGACTGGTCGCCAACTGGATGCAGCCCTGTTCACCAGCACTCTCTGGGTCCGGCCCTCGAGCCAGTTCCTGACCCAGCACAGAGTGCCCCTGTCCAAGCCATGGGCTGCCAGCTTTTCCAGGAGTATATTATGGGAGACAGTGTCAAAGGCTTTGCTGAAGTCCAGATAGAGCTATTTGGTTTCCTATCTCTGTCTACCAGCTCCAGAGGCCAGTTGCCTTGAGGGCCACCTGTCTTACTGGTAAAATCTGAGGCAAAGTAGGTGTTAAGTACCTCTGCCTTCTCCTCATCTCTATTGTTTCCCTCCAAGTCCATCAAAGAATGGAAGTTTTCCTTGCCCCTCCTTCTGTTATTAATGTATTTCTAGAAGGACTTTTTGTTATCCCTAACAGAAGTGGCCAATTTAACTTCGAATTGTGCTTTTTCATCCCTGATTTTCTTTCTGCATGATCTAGCTGTCTTCCTGAATTCTTCGTAAGTAGTCAGCCCTCTCTTCCATAGTTGGTAAACTCTCTTTTTATCCCTGATTTCCTTCAGAATCTCCCTGTTTGACCAAGCTGGTTGTCTTCCCCGCCAGCTTGCCTTTCGGCACACCGGTACAGCCTGTTCCTGTGCACTCAAAACTTCCTGCTTGAAGCACATCCATCCCTCCTGAACCCCCTTGTTTTCAAGGGTTGTTTCCCAGGGTATGCTCTGGACTAGACTTCTGAATAGGTCTAAATCTGCCCTCCGGAAGTCCAGCGTAGAGGTTTTATTGGTAGCTCGCCTTGAATCTCTGAGTATTGAAAATTCTATTATTTCGTGGTCACTATTTCCCAGGCGGTCTTCAACCACTACATCTCCCACCAGCCCCTCTCTGTTTGTAAACAGCAGGTCTAGCGGGGCCTTACCCCTGGTAGGTTCATTTACCAGCTGATGAAGGAAATTGTCCTCTATACACTCCAGGAACCTCTTAGACTGCCTCTTCTCTGCAGTATTGAGCTCCCAGTAGATATCCGGCAGGTTAAAGTCACCCACAAGGACAAGGGCTGACAATTTCGAGACATCCGCCAGCTGCTTGTAGAATAATTCATCCCCTTCGTCATCCTGGTAGGGTGGTCTGTAACAGACACCTATGATGATGTCGGCCTTGTTGCTCTTCCCCCTGATTCTGACCCACAGGCACTCAACCCTATCGTTGCTGACCTCAAGTTCAACAGAGTCAAGAGACTCTCTAACATATAAAGCCACCCCTCCACCTCTCCTACCCTGCCTGTTCTTTCTGAAGAACTTGTAGCCTTCCATAGCAGCACTCCAGTCATGCGAGTCATCCCACCACGTTTCTGT